AATGCGGATTCAAGGCAGGGGGGAGGGGTAATTAGAAAATTTGGGATTTTTTTGTTTATTAAAGAAAACCAGGATCCCTGCAGTAAACATCTCATATAAATGTGCCCAGTCTATAAATTTGTATGGTTGAATGAGCCATTAAACCGTTCCCCATGGAAATGTTTCCTGAATAAGAAATGCAGTGTTCATTTACCAAAATTAATGTGTGTTCTGAATTTGCTCATGAAAATAAAGAAGGTAAAAGCACATTTCTTTTCTTTTCTGTGGAAATGATCATTTACTAAAAAGAAATGCTGTTCTGTCACTGGCAAAGGATGTCAGTAGGTAGATTAATTGCTGCTGTATATGCTTCCCCGGAGAAAGGATTGCTTTGAATGCCTTGTATCCTTTAGTTAATTAGCTTTTTGGCCAAAGAATGGTTTCAGGATGCTAAAGCAGGCCTGTCCTGCATGCATCCTATGAGGGGTTATCATGCAACCAGCAGGCTTCTGTCTGGCCACTGCTCCCCTTGCTTCTAATGCAGCAGCAGCCTGGGTCTGTGCACACCCCTCCCTCCCCGGCTTCCACTTCCTTCTCCTAGTCCTGGGGGTGGGGCAGTGAGTGGGAGGGAGCTGGGGTATCTGTTGGGTGAAGGGGTTGGGAGTATGTGTGGGGAAAAGGAACTAGACTTCTTGTACTGTGTGTGGCAGCAGAGGGCGAACTACTTGCATAGCACAGCAGGCCAGGAGTGGGGTGAGGCTGTATGCACAGTGCGGGGAGCTAGGCTGCCTGTGCTGCACGTGTGGTCAGGGCAGAGACAGGTGGGGTTGCTGAGTGATGTGTGGCCCCCAGCTGCTAAGAACTTGGACAGCCCTGTGCTAAACCAATGATAGAATGCCATTACATAACAGAATGCCATTACAATAGTAAAGAAAATTATTTAGTGGACAGGCAATATGTCCATTCATTCATTGAGCTATATTTAAACAATTTTTAATGTACATACTTTTTTTTTACCTGATAAAATACTGTGACGTAGAGAATAAAATCTTTCTCTAATATAGTATGTTTTACGTCTCTTGTATAAATGATCTTTCTAGACAATTTTTGGCAGCCATTATATACTAAATGTTACTCTATTTCATAAATGCAAAGGTAATACTTTTTCAGTGGTAAGGATTTTTACAAATGTATTTCTTGAGGAAATCTATAAAGAGTTTAAATATGCAATGCTTCTTACTTTTATTTACTCACCTAACTATCTCCTTGTAGGGAGCAAAGAAGATGAACTAACAGATCAAAGAATTTTAGCTGCAAATCTGGAGACAAATGTACAAGACCTGCTTCAAGCACACACTCCTGCAACAGGGCACCTGGAAAAATACGGACTTAATGGTGGGTGGCAACATAGCATACAAGTACAGTCAGCCAAAATTATGACTTCTTAGGCAGATCATCAGATATTATGAATATCTTTTTTTCAAAAATATAAATAATCTTTCTTTCCTTTGTTGTACATTCAAAGAAGAGATCCATACAGTTGTTTGGTATTAAACATCTAGGTTGGAATTAATGAATACATTACTTGGTTACAGTACTTACTTGATTCTAAGACGAGGCTTTTTTCCCATGTAACATGGAGGGAAAGGCCCCTTGTTTTAAAAATGAGTATGAGGGTGGTGTGAGGGCAAGTGGCTGCTGTGGCTTGGGTTCCAACCTCTACCTGGGGTCAGGGCTATTGCTTCTGTGTTAAGATTTTACCCTACTTTTTTTTTCTTGGATGAAACAATAAAACTGTGTGTAGATTTGTGAAGATCAATTGTGTAGTTATTAAAAAAAAGTTTAGTCTGAGTAAAGAGTGATAAAAAATAAGCCATTGGTAACGCAAAGATTCAGCAAAATTATTTTCTGAAAACACCCCTCTTTAGGGTCCGCATCTGCATCTGCTTTGCTAGATTACATACCTCTTTTATTTTTCATTCTCATCACTAAAAAAATCACTATTCTCCAACTGCAGAAGTGATTTCCTACCTATGCTGATTGCTAGTCTATATACCTGAAGGTGAAGAAATTTGTTATAAATGCATAACATCATATAGTTAATAGGTATTACTAGGTTCAGAATTATTCAGTCACAATATGTTGTACTAGTTTACTTTTGCTCATTATCTACTTTAGCATCCTGCTATTAGAACATAAAGCTGAAAATATGACCAGGAGAAAGACTTTATTTTTCAATTTTGTTTTGATAATTATAAAATATACTCTGTTCTTTTATCTAGTCACTTTTCTTAAATACTTTATTCTTTAAAAAGAACATCTATAAAATATTTTTCCCATTGACACACTACATATTTCCTCTTTCTGTAGAGAGTAAAATAGATACTCTAAGTAAGCAAAGAAGGAATTCGGCAATGAGTTTGAAAGCAAATCTACAACACCTTCAGCAAGAAAAGGTTCTTGCAGCAAGCAAAGTAGGCAAAATCATAGCCAATGGTGAGTGCAGAGTCAGCAAACATGGTGAATTCAGTGGTGATTCCTTATGCTTCTGTGAACTGAACTTTTGGATCAAAATGTAAATTAGTTTTTTCAAACGTATGGAACTTTTTAAATCTTTGCTCTGATATTCAATGGAACTACCATTTTCCATATATGGAAGACAATCCATATACCTGAGATGAGTGAAATCTGTCTAACCTAAGAGAACTGTAAGTTCTTGCATGGGAGCACTCTAAAGACTTTCCTGCTGTCTCTGCAATTAACTGTCTTTTGTGGTAACACGGGTTTTCCAGTACATCCCAAGTACATGGTACACACCACAAGGAGGCATTCCTGAGCTTTCTCAGACTTCAGCCAATTCATGTGGTGCACTTGCTTTTCTTTTCTAAAACCAGTTGGTAAATACTATAGCGCAGTGGTCTGCCTAGCCAAACCACTGGTACTGGCTTGGCCATTTAGTGAAGATTTTAGAGACTGCATCTGTTAGTAACCCCAGAATGCAATCACCAGTCTTGAATTGCCTCCCATGGATATTTATTATAGGTAGGCTCTTGCATGCCTTTGCATTGGTGAAGATTCTTATGAGCAAACTCTCCCAGATACTTAAAGCTTTCAATATCAATTTGTCTTTATACTTCTCAATAGAACTTACTGGCATGTGTACTGGTTCATAAGCCAGCATCTGCTTTTTGCCTCAGTATGGCACATTCTTTTGCCCTATGGATATATCCTATGTCCTCCAGTTCTGGTCTCTGACTCTTTTCCCATCCTTGAGACTTTCTTCTCCAGAAGCCACTCTGGGGACTTCATGCAGTTTTGGGAGTACTATTGACTTGTACCATTATCTCCAACTTTTCCTTTTATGGTACCATCTGACTATCTTAGTTTCCTGGTATTGAGCCTTTTTTATGTATACATGACCTGCTGGCTCAGGAGGTCTATATCCTGCCAGGAGTCTATGTCCAAGATGTCACAGAAAGGTTGTCAAGACCCATCCAGGCCTTTGACTACTATTCCATGTTGCTTATGCATGTGGGCACTAATGATACTTCCAGAGGTGATGTTGAGTAAATCAGAAGTGACTATATGGCTCTGGGTATAAGGGTGAAGGGAATGGAGGTCCAGATGGTTTTCTTATCATTTCTTCCAGTCAAAGGTAAAGAAAGGCCCAGGTAAGAGCAGATGTATCCTGGAGATCTGCTTGTGCTGCATAGATGGTGTCACCAGTAGGATTTGGCTTTTTGATCATGGGGTAGTGTTCCAGGAAGGGAACTGGGAAGAGATGGGATCCATCTGATAAAGAGAGGGCAGAGTATCTTCATGTGCAGGCATACTAACCTAGTGAAGAAGCCTTTAAACTGGATTCATCAGGGGATGGAGATAAAAGATCAGAGGTAAGGTAAGAAGCAGGGGACCTAGATAAAAACTTAGCAAGGGGAAACACTAGTGACCGTCTCATTAACAAAGAAAATACTAACTAGATGAAAGTACTGTAAAGTGGATATGTAACTGCTTGGATCTTCCCACTCAATGAATAGTCATCAATGGCTCATTGTCCAGTTAGTCTAGGTGGTCAGCTGCAGGGTGGCTGACTGGAAGAGCAGCTGTGCTGGTCAAGCTGAGGCCACGGCCGGATGCTGAAGGGCAATTATAGAGAAGATGGAGATAGACTATTCTTTGTGGCTGGAGGAGTCAGCACTAGAAACAATAGCCTCAAACTACAGCAAAAGAAATTCAGGCTGGAGATTAGATAGAACTTTCTGACTATGAGGGTGGTCAAGCATTGGTACAGGTTACCTATAGAAATTGTGGAATCTCCGTTCTTGGAAATTTTCAAGAGCAGGTTGGAACAACACTTGGTTGGGATGGTTTTTGTTTTTAATAGTATTTAATGATTGTTGCAGATTATGTGAATGAACTGACATGTAACCCAACAGTTTGTTTGGGGATTTTGAAAGTTCTAAATATTGTATTAGCTAATTAGAGTATAATGAATTGGAAGTGGATTCACTTTATGAGATAAGCTAATTAGAAACAGACTATACAAGTAAATGTAATATTTATTTGAAATTCTGATTATAATGAAACATTTTTAATGATTATTTTAATTAATTTCTGCCTTTGTAGAGAGAGAACTGAGTGAGTTAGCGGAGAAGAGAAGACTTTTGCTTGCAAGTTTTGAATCAACTCTGAAAGATCTTCAGGAAGCACAGGCTCTTGCAGCTTGCCAGCTGAGCGGTGTCAATGGTAAGTAGAATTAGCGTCAATAGACCACTCAAGCCTATTCTGCGCATCAGGTTACTGTGCTGAAGCCATGCCAATGCGTGTAGCCAACAGCACACAGTGGAACGATGTGACTTGCACCATGTCTAACTGACTTGGACTCCCCAGCCCAAATGATCAGGTGCCCATTTACAGCTGGGATGGCAAAGGGCAACCTTCTGTTTGAAGTTTACTCATACTTTTGGATCTGTAGTAAGGCTCTTTAGCTATTCTGTGACTGTACCCCTAGATCAAGTTAAGGCTAGATCTTTTATTGTTCATGAAAGAAACTCAGTAGCAGTTTTTTTAGTGAGATTCTTTGAACTATTCTTAGTAGGAGATTTTTCTGAGTAAAAGGTGCTGTGTTTAATTTATTAACAGGAATATGCGTTCATCAAAAAGAAAAATGCTCCCTGTCATTGTGCCATGTAAATTAGTAAGCAACGCTTATGTCATTTCCCCTATATGGAAATGAGCAGGAGTTAAAGAAAAGGTATGTTCACAGAAAATAACCTTGGGTGATTTGGATAGCCCCTGGGGCACGTCCACACGTGCAGGCATGTGTGTTTGCAGCAGCTCAAATAGGAGCGGCACAAATTTGAGCCAGGGATGTGCCCAGCATCTTGGTGTGGGGCAAGCTGTGCCACTTGGGGCAAAATAAGTGCCCAGCTCCTCCCGGATCTTCAGCCAGGGGGAGCTAGAGCCTGTCCTGTGCTGTATAAAAACCTGTCCTGTGCTGGCCCCAGCAGTATAAAAAGCTCAGGGCTACTTGATCTCAGGAGCTTCTGTGGCCCGGTCAATTGGTATCTGGGGACACTAGCCCCTTGTCCCATTTGGCTTGTTGCAGCAGCCCTAACCGAGAGTTCCCTGCACCCTCTACCCACTGCAGCAGTCTGGCAGTGGGGGCTGCTGCCTGGCTGTGACCTGCTGCACACCTGCAACGCACCACCTTGGGTCCACGTGCTATCTGCCAGATTCGGATGGGGACTGCATGGCCGCAGCAGAGGCATCTGCACCTCTGGGCGAGCTACCAGTGGGCTGTGGCTGCACAGCTGGCCTTTGTGCGGCACTAGTGCTATGTGTGCTGCCACCCTGCCATCTGGGCATCTATCTCTCAGAAGATGTTTTCAGTGTGGTGGCCTGCTTTGAACTGTCAAAGCATGTCTTCCTTGCCCCAAGTAGTCCTGGTGCAGTCCCTGCACAGGCACCTCTGCCTGGGTCCTGCCACTTGCCTCACTAGCAGGAATTCTGATGTTCCCTATTTAAAAACTACAAGATCTCTGATTAAAAAAAAATCCCAAATTAACTCTTTAAAATACCCCCAAATCCATGTTCTTCCACAATTGAAACAAAAGACCACTATATAATATAAAAATATGAGAGAGCGATCAGTTGGGCAATGTGTAACTGATATATTTACAATACTAAAGCAATTTGGAAGCCTACCAGGGTCTCCATCATCATAATAAAATAAATTCTAAATATCTAAATGTTTTGATGTTCGCTTTTGCTCCCTACAGGGCCCACAGCTTACCCCTGCAGCAGCTGTGGTACATTCAGACCCCCCAGCGGCATGGTGTGGTGTGGTGCAGCTCTAGCCACCTCATACACAGTGCTGCCTGTGCTGCTCGGTAGCCCTGTGCTGCTTGGGCTGTCACCCGGGACCTGCCGCCACTCACAGGGACTTGGTGTCGGGCTGGATTGGATCCTACTTCCAGCAGCAGCGCTGCCAGACCTGCGGTGTGTGCAGGGAGAAGGTGTGCACAGGACTGAGAGGCACAGCTCCAGGACGCGTGGCTCCTCTGCAAAGGTGAGCTAGCTGCGTGGCTTGGGCCAGGTTGGGTTGTCAGGGTGCATTTTCCATGAGGCTTAGGCAGTGATGCGCCATGTCCTGTTGTAGGCACAGCATCATGGCCATGCATTGCCACTGGAGCCTCATGGAAAACATGCCTGGTACAAGCTGGCTCGGGCCATGCAGCTAGCACACCTTTGCAAAGGAGCCACGTGTTCTGGAGCCACACCACCCGGTCCTGTGCAAAGCCGTGCTAGTGGGCTGGGTCGGGTCCCACCGTGTGTTTTGTGGAGGGGCTCGAGTGGGGGCTGCCGCATGCCTGCCCCCCTGCCCAGTGGCACTGGTGGCAGCAGCCAGTGCAGCTGTGACCCAGCTGCAGGCACAGCTGGCAGCAATGCAGTGCTGTGTGACCCAGGCTCTGTATATGCTGAGCAGACCTGGCTTAGCCCGCTAGTGCACGACTTTCCCGGTCCTGTCCAAAGCCGTGTGGTAGCGGGCTGGGCTGGGCTGGGTCCCTCAGCATGTACAGAGCCCAGGTCACGCAGCGCCGCATCACCACCGGCTGTGCTTGCAGCCAGGCCACAGCTGCACTGGCTGCTGCCACTGGCGCTGTGGGGGGGGGTGGAGGGGGGTGGGGAGCAGGCATGCAGTGGCCCCTGCTTAAGCCCCTCCATAAACCCACCCACAGACTGCACCCCCCTGCCATTCCCCACACCCATAAAATCTCACACGTCCCTAACTTACAAGGATTGTGGGTCACGATCTTTGCCGCGCTTCTGTTTGTCCCAGCACGCCAAGGACTTGTGCCCCATGTGCTGGGGTAGCAGGAGCACCATAGAGACACTCTGGCCAGAAACAAGAGCATCTCTCTGGAGGACCGCATCCTGGGTTACCTCAGGGTATGGTTGGCAACCATACCCTGTCCTGCTTTTTCTCCCCATGTTTTATTTTGATACCTGGATATCCAGATATTAAATTTTGAGCCCACACTGAAGCATGTTCCCCAAATATGCAGCATGGGGAACATTTTTTTTGTTCCCAGTGTGCCTCTTGCCATGTCTTAAACTGCTTTGAGACGTGACAAGAGGCATGTGCATGCTTGTCTGGATGTGCCCTGGGAGTATTTTTAATAAAACAGGTATGTTTAAAAATGCGTATTGTCATTTAGTTAACAAGTATGTCTAAGTTCAGTGTGGTGAGGGTTTTAAAATGTTGTAGCGTGCTTTTGTTTTTTGCCTATTTTATCACAGTGCTGTCCTAAAATAAAGATGAAAACATGAGGTAGGATACTTTTTTAAAACTCAAAGTAAAGTAGGAACATTGCTAAAATGTTTACAGTATTTTTAGTGTGATGGACCACAACCATCACAACCATGGATCCGAGGTGATTTAATTTTGGAATCCGAGGTTATTTAATTTTGGAATCTAAGGGATGTTTCTAGGCAGTTTCCTGAAGCTGTTGAATAAATTTACTTAACTGAAAAGTTTTTTTTTTTCTGTTTCATTAAGTTCCTCATCTCTCTCATGTTATAAAGGACATTATAAATTACTGATACACCATTTTTCTAGTGACCCATCCCATTAAAACTTCCTCTCTTTGTAGAGTGCAAAGTGAATGAGCTAGTTGAGCAAAGAAGGTTTTTGTTTGAAAGTTTGGAGGCAAGTCTACAAGACCTGCAAGAAGCAGAGGCTCTTGCATTGGAGCAATTAGCAAAATACACATCTGACAGTGAGTGCAGACTTAAGTATGTCTACAAACAACAATATAATGAGTTAATTGGTTGCTCTATGGGCTTTGAGCTATAATTTTTCCCTTCAACATAAATTCTCTTTCCGTTCCTTTTCCCCATCTCTCAATTTTATAATTCTGTTAATGGACTCTTGAGAAGGGATATATGGTCATCCTGTGAAGAGCACTTAACCATCCTAATAAGAAGGCCAAGTACTGGAGTTATGCAAATTCAAGATGACTTCATATTTAAGGCAACACCCCCATAATTAGGTTCTACACATGGAACATTATAAATTTGTTAAATACAATATTTATTATTGGAGAGTCACCATACATTTACTTCCTTCCCATACTGCTGCAGCAGGGAAAGCAGTGGCAGGGGGGGCAAGCATTGGCAGGGGGTAGGCCAGCCTTCCCCCCCACCAACTGCTCTCCTGCAACCTGTCCCCCCACAAACCCAGTTTCTTCTCCCCCTGCTGTTTGCTGTTCCCTGCCCCACCACTTACCCTGTGTGGTGCCTCTGGCTTCACTTCAGCATGGAGCATGGAATAGTGTGCTCTTGTCCTGTCCAGGCAGCAGCCTCAGCCAGAGGTTGAGGCTGGTACTAGGGCCACAGCACCTGCCCCCCACATTGCTCAGTCTCCCCACAATCTCCCTCACGCTCACCGCTCCTTGGCATGGCAGTCTCCTTGCACTCCTCCAGTGCTGCACAACCTGTGATCCTCCCCTGCACGTGCCTCTCCTCCTCCCAGCACTGCACAGTCACCCCCAGGTCAAGGATGGAGTTGGAGCCAGAGCCACAGCAACTGCCTGCCCCCACTGGTACTTAAATCTAAGATGAGGTTTCTTTTTTTTGTGCTGAATGGGGAGAAAAACCTTGGCTTGGATTCAGGAAAATAGGGTAATTAGGTATCCAAATATGAATTTAAGTTTTTAACTTAAACAATTTTTAAGTTAATATTCTTAAAAAAAGTCAGCACATGCTACAGAAAGAAAAACTGTATGAGTCATAACAAAAAGGACTACTAAAGCAATTCAAGGACCACGCTAAGTTTTGTGCAGTAAACAAGAGATGTGTGGGATCAGAATCAGCAGACCAAAATTGGTGCGCCAGAAATTTGGCTTTAATGGTGGACAAAAATAATGAGGCCTGACCATTTTTGGGGATCCTCAGTTTGACACCGACAAGTTGGAAAATTGTGTGCGCTCAAAAAAATTAACTTTAGCATTGTGACTCCTTTTCCTGGGATGCGGCATGACATTGTTGGGCCTTCATTTTCTTGGTTCCTAACTAGATCAAGCCAGAGAAAGTGACATAGATGACAGTCTTTGGAATAAGTCTTGAACAACACATAGAATATGATATTTGCATATTGTCCTTCACCTTTTGCTTTCTTTATAATGAGAGTTTGGCAAGATTGCATCATACCTATGAAAAAAAGTCGTTGTGAGCCTGTAAGCAAAAGGACGGCTAAAGTTAGACAGATGAATGCTGGTACCAATTTAATAGACCTCACAGGGACAGATAAAACTGTCCTGTGCCTATCATTCTCTATCTGTGAGATTATAAATCCGTCCTTGAAACAGAAGCTGCATCATTTTTAGCTGTGGTGTTCTTTTTCATCCTCTTCTGTATGTGCTTGTTGTTGCTGGAATCTGATCCTGCATCTTTGATGACAAAAAAAAGTGACAACAAAAGCTCTCCAGCCCATTCCCCTATTTCTTTTCTCTCCAAAAAAGGCAGTTGTTATCTGTCTTTTCCAGCATATAGAAGGCTACCAAATTGGGATTTTCCTTGAAAAATATCAACAGTTGTAATTTTTAAAATTATTGTTCCAATGACATGAATGAATTCAGACATTAGCTAACCGTTTATTTTAAGATTTTTAAAATTCTAAACATTATATTGGCCAATTAGATTATAATGAATTCTTAGTGGATTCACTTAATGAGATAATCTAATTGGAGATGGACTATATGAGTAAATTTAATATTTCTTTTGATTCTAATTATAATTGTAACCCAGGTGGTACACAGAAGGAACCTCCTCTCCAAGTGGAGGAATGTCAGCAGGTGTCTGTATGCTGTGGGGGACCGTGGCCGCTTAGCTGTAGGGCCCATTCACCTCCCTTTCCCTA